GACTGCCATTGCAGTAAAAGGATCCATTGACACATCCAGTCTGATTTCTACAAGCATCATGCCAACATGTTGCTTCTCGTTCTATGGCCAAGAAGTACCATAGAGCCCCAAGCACCTAAAAGGTTATCAACCATCATTGACTACAGACATGGATAAAGCATTTCCAATCCAAATAACGAAAAAAGAGGTCAAATTAAAATAATTTCCATTACTGGAGAAGAGGGGAGTCTACTTACATGACCCGCAAGCAAGTAAAGAAAGAGATTGAATGCTGCTTTAGCCCATGCAGCTTCAGAAAGTATCCCAGAAGTTCTTTTGTCCCTCTTAAACAATGGATAAATCCGAAGAATTCTCGGCATGTATTGGAAGACAATAACAAATTTCAACACGTCCATGGCATCCACAAATCTTGTACCTTTCATTGCTGGAATAATAAGTAAAATTACCACCTGAATAGAGTAGGGAAAATTTAAGGTGTGAATCAGTGGTAAGATTCTTAAAACAAAACCAGCAAGTTCAACTGACATGATACATTATCACTATTGTCACTATTTCACGTGTAGCCCCAACAAGACAACTGAAATAAACAAGCCTATCGTGTAAACAACAAAAACAGGATGTTAGACTATGAACAGAGTAACAAACAGCCTGATCAACTATCATACTACACTAGAATGAATCAGCTATAGCCTACAGGTAGAGAGGCCTAACAAACAATGACTTTAGACAGCATGGAATATCACAGAGTCTAACTAATTATATGGGTATGACAATTTTCATTGAAACAAGATAATAAAATATTGCAGTTCAATTGCTTTGTTCATGACAATGGTAGCAGTAGCATTATCCCTAGGAGACACATCTTGGCATTTCCAATGGATCTTACATTCAGGTTGGCCTAGACACCAATCATTACGTAAATTTTAAGTGGATATGTTCGCTTGGCATCTCTCCACAAAGACCTAGTCATTATCATTATGCAATGTATCATCAATTAGAGTTTAAGACTTCCACAGTAAAGGCCTCAGGTTTTTACCTACAATCAGATGTACCACAAAAACCTTAACATAGTCCCATTACTGTCTATCACCATTTTGTTTTAGCTCAAATGACAAGTAACAGAAACAAATGGATTCTAACAATTCTAACTAATAACAATCATTTAAAAAAGCAGCTGTCATGCTAAAGGAAAAAGCATTTTGCTATAAAATGTCACTAACCTGTGGGAGGGGAAGAATTGCAAGCATGTCAACAGGAAATAACCATGACAGCAAATATCTTCGCACTATTTTCCAGCCATTTCTGTTGACTAAATTATCTCTTGGATATAGAAGAGGAGCAAAAAGATCAGTATGAAGCCGACACACAATGCATATTACATAAAAGCAATCAATAACTGAACGAAGACAAATTGCTGCAATCCCCAAGTTGGTGTCCAAAAGAAGACATTTGTTATCTTCATTGACCACAATGATGTAGAAAAATATAGGATCAAGTGAGACTGCAATAACGGTTGATAGTAGAAATATCCTATTCCATTCTTCAGAGTAGGATCCATGTGGATTAAGAAGGCTTTTAATTCCCTCAATGCTGCAATCAAAGTTTTTTCCCTCACTAACTTTGTCTAGATGCCTTACACTATTTCGGGACATATTCACTGCTTTCCCTTCCTCCAAGTTCCAATCCCCAAACCTGAAGAACACATAAGCAGCAGAAAAGAATCTGTCAATGGCACAATGTTAAGGTTGATGTCTAAAATACCACATATTCATTTTTTTTTGGGTACATCGTATGCATGCTATACAGAACAGTAATAGTCTTCTCCATCTTAAATCCCTCCCCACCACTAACAAGAGCTTAGTCAAATTAGTATCTACTAACTTAAATATCTTGATTTAGGATCAAGGTTAAAGATTCAAACTTCAATGATACCAAGCAGCTAACCATCCAATGTACTCAAAAAAAAAAAAAAAAAAAAACCCTCCCCACCCCAGATTTGAACGTGAAACTTCCAATTTGGAGCCTTAAGCTTACCAGTTGAGACAGTCATTGGCCACTAAAATACAAACATAAACTACTGGAATGGCCAGATTTTTTTAAAAAAATACTAAATAAATAAATAAATGGTATATATGCATGCTTGCTTGCTACAAGATGGAGAAGAAATCAATGGTAAAAAATGTGTACCTGGTGTTTTAATGGACTGATACTTGAAGGGTTTTTGTTAGATGTGGGAAAGAAAAGGAGAGAAATAACAGGAAGAGATCTGCCTGCTAAAGGAGAAATGCAAAGAAAGGTATGTAAAGGAAGATTGCCAGCTTTGTTAGGTGAGTTTCCTGGATGCTTCTGCTGCTGCTATGAACATAGACGTTAGATGATGAAGAAATTGAAAGTCAAAAATGAAGAACCCAAATTCCATAGTCCGAAAGGGAGAAAAGTATGAACAACCGGGAAAAACCAGAATGGGCCAATATTATTTCGGTCTTTTTTCCTTTTTTTTTTTTAATTTAAAAAAATCAATGAGAAGCAACACAGGTGCATTTATTTACTTAACATGTTTCCGCGACCGCATACTTCGCTTCAATTGGAAAAATGAGATTACATAAACTCAAGGTAAAAGCTTTGCTCCTGCTTTTAAGTTTTAACTTTACAAGAACATACTAAGAGAAAAAGATTCTTAGCTCTAAGGGCATGTTGTACTGCATGAATTCCACACGAGGGTAGAATTGTGAGTGTGAATAATATAAATGCGGAGATTTATCACTAATAATAATTTGAATTTAAGCTTTTAATGATTCATCAATATTAATTTAAAGAGTTATTAGTTCAATAATAAATGTTAATATAGTTTGTTTCAGAAATCACTAGAGATGAATTTTGTACATAAGCCTTTTTAAGTGTTTTAACCATGATTATCCTTGATGAGGATATCCAGCATTTAAGTAGGAATCAAGGACATCAAAAGTTTAAGTGGAGGAGTTTTACGATCCTTTGAATTTCATATTGAGATGAATTATGCAGATTTAAAAAAATATATAGTTTGACTTTTCTGGTAGTTTTAGTTTGATTTTTTAACTTTCATACATAAATTTCAAATGAAAATTTAACAACTTATATAAACAAAATTTGAAAAGTTTTTTTTTTTTTTCACATATGAAATTCTTATTGAATATTTTTATTTAATCAAAAAAATTTTCAATTATCATTTATATAATATATTAAATTTTTATTTAAAATTCATGTCCAAAAAGTCAAACTATAACTAATAAAAATGAATGAAAGGAGTAATAATTAATATATTAAATTTTTATTAATATTAATTAAATAAATTACTATAAAATTAAAAATAACAATCAAAACTCTTTCTCTTCATTTTTCTCACTACATTGTTCACCATTAAAGGTAAACATATTTTGTTCAATTCTAAATTACATGATATTGAATTTTTTTTTAAGTTTGATTTATTCAATTTAAAATTTAGTTAACTAAAATATTTTATTTTGGTAAATGACTAAAGATCAAAAAAAAAATTTACTTAAAAAGATTAAAAGAATTTGATTAATTGAATGAACTATATTAATAAAAAAATAAACTTTTGGTAATTAAAATTGAATTTTTAAGTGACGTTTAGTCATTAAAATGAAAATCATTAATCAAAATAATAAAAATAGAAGGGGAAGATTTGCTCTCTTTTTTTTTTAATTTTAATATTTATTTAATTAAAATTAATAAGTAATTAACATTTTAATTATTTGTCAAAATAAGGTATTTTGGATCTTTTAAAAAACTTTAATACATTTATGAAGAATTTAATTAGATATTTACATTTATACAAGATATAAATTTTAGCCTTCACTAGTCTCTCAAAAAGCCCACTAACTGCAGTTAAACACCATGTTAGTGTCGGAGTTAAAAATTAAACTCTTTGATTAAGAGGGATAACTATATACTAAAAGCCAAAAAAGTTTATACCCTTAAAAAAAGAGGTGGTGCAACAGAGATAATTTTTTTATTTTATTTTTTTATATAATTTTTACATATCATTAAATTAAATAAGTAAATATATTTAATATCACAAATCTCATATTAATTAAAAAAATTAACCATTTTAATGACATATTAAGTTATACAAAAAAATAAAATAAAAAAATTATAAAAAAACATTTCCCTAAAAAATTTTGCATAATAGTGCACATTTACTGGTCACAGCAAAGTTTTTTAGACAAGTCAAACTACCGAGTACCGAGTAGAGGTTCATTTCTAGATTGACTCAATACGTGTCACGCTTGACTTTTGCTTCCGTGTCACGCTTGACTTTTGTTACGCCACCTTGCCCCCTACGGCACCGCTGTTTCCATTTACTCACTCACTTCCTGACTTGACCGTCGGCTCTGCCTCTAGCACGGTATTAGAATTATTTGTGCTGTTAATTATATGTTTAAAATATAATTTTTAATTTTTACGAATTAAAAGTATAAAATATACTTGTAATTTTGAAAATATATCATAATAATGTCATTGGTGTTGTAAATTTATAATATAAATAATTTTTTATTTAAAAATTTATTTATAATATTATAAATATTTATTTAATAATATATTATAATTATAATATAAAAAATCCTTTTCCGCCTTAGATTTAAACATGAAACTTCTAATTTGAAGCCCTAAACTTACCTAGTTGAGACACTCATTCGCCGCTCAAATACTAACATAAAACTACTTGAATGGCCAGATTTAAAAAAATAATAATAAATAAATAAATGGGATATATGCATGCATGCTTGCTTGTTACAAAATGGAGGAGAGAAATCAGTGGTAAAGAATGTGTGCCTGACTACCTGGTGTTTTGACGGACTGATACTTGGAAGGGTTTTGTTTAGATGAGGGAAAGAAAAGGAGAGAAAATAACAGGCAGAGATTGCTTTGTCTGCCAAATGAGAAGTGCAAAGAAAGCTATGGAAAGGAAGAGAAGCCGGCTTTGCTAGGTTGGCTTCCTGGATGCTGCTGCTGCTAAGAACATAGACGTTCGATGATGAAGAAACTGAAAGTCAAAAATGAAGAAACCAACTCCATAGAAAAATATGACAAGGAGAAAAGTATAAACAACCGGCGCGAAGAAAAAGAATGGGCTTGGTCTTTTCTCCTGCTTTTTTTTTCCTTTTTTTAGAAAAAACAAAAAATCAATGGGAGGCAACACCCTCACCTTTATTTATCTATTGGCATGCGTAGAACCCTTACTTCTATTGGAAAAAAGAGATTACAGGAACATGAGGTACGTAAAAGCTTTTCTCCTGCTTTTAAGTTTGAGTTTTTCTAGTATGGGTTCCAAATTATTTTTAAACAAAATGAATTAACGTGTTCTAATTTTTTTAATATTTATTGATATTGAAAAATATAAAATTTAATATTAATTTTACTATTAATATTATGTGTATCATTTTACTTAAAAAGTTGATTAAATAAAAATCAAGTTTTATTTTTTTTAATACCAAATAATATAAAGAAGGTGGAATAATTATATTTTTAAAGTATAAATTTAAAAATCCCTTTAAAATTTTAACTTTATAGGAACATAAGATAATTAAAAATGTGCCTAATTTAAGATGCATGACATGTGGATATAAATGATTTTTTTTATTGTGTAGTTCAAAAATAAAAAAAAAATTAAATATAAAGTTTTTGGATCATGATTGGTGCACATCCGGATTCAACACCCGAGTGTGCATCCCCACATAAAAAAAAAAATGGTATGCACCCGAATCCTTTTTTTTTTTTATGGGGGGTGTGCACACTCGAGTGTTAAATCCGGGTGTGCACACACCATTTTCCAAAGTTTTTACTTTACAAATTTAACAAAGGTGTTTTTCCTTTTTTTCTCTGCGGAGTTCTCATGTGTGTTTTTTTGGTTCCTAGTCAATTTTGCAACTACTATTGTTATATGATTACTGGCATACATTGATAGACTCTACCGTGCATATATGTCCAGGTGTTAGACTTTAACTAAGAGCTATACTCTAGCATGAATTACAGTTTCTCCCAACAATAATTTAGTTGAAAACTTGCTATTATGTGCTTGTGATGTGTTAGGATGTGTTTGAAGTCACATAATTATGCGTGCAACAGTGAAAACTTGAAAAATGAAAAGTTAAATTTTTTATTTATATTTTAGACATTATTTACACCTTAGACATTATTATTTCTTATGGTCAATATTTTTTAAAATTTTCACTCTTAATCAACTACCTCTATAATTTGAAATTCATAAAAAATTCAAAATTAATAGTTAGGTCACAAGCAAAACAAAGTGCAAATAGAAAGTTTAGTCATTAATTTTAAATTTTTTACAAATTTTAAAATTTAAAAGATATTAATTGAGAATGAAAATTGTAAAAGGTATTGACTATGATAATGTCTTATACAAAAATTGAGGGTTTGGCCTAACCTAATCTTTCTTCCTGTTTTTGAAGTGGGATGGTCGCTGCACCCACATTGCCTATTTGTGATTGCTGTGGTTATCTTACTATGTTTATTTGTTTTTACTCGCATTATTTGTTACGTAGATTGAACACTTGGCATGATATTGACAAATGAAACTTAAATGAGGTTTACTGAGCATAGACAAGAAGATTGGAAATCTCCAGGAAAAGGAAAAGAAAAAACAAACGAGAAATTAGTTTTTTTTCTGAGAGTGTCCGCCACTGATCTTGTGACAACATGTAGACTTGTATATCCAACTTTTACCGATCTATTGCTCCTCAATGACAGACTGTGCTTCCAACAAGGCTGGTGATCTGGCTTGGAAGCGTGAAGCATCAGGCTGTGAAGTACTGGATTCATTACTATATTTAGAACCATTGCTGGGGCTGCCACTAGAACGTGACAAGTTTTTAACTGCTTTAGCATTTACGGATTGCGAATTGAGTTGCTTTTTCCGACGCCTCTTGCGCAAGGCTGATAGAATACGTGCAGCTGCTTGTATGTGTATGGCATCCCAATTGCGTTTCATGTCTCTAGCTTGGAGGGCAAAGGCTTCCACTTTAGTAAGGGCTTGAATGGATCTGCTTGAGACAGGAAGGTGTCGTGGGTTGGGATCCTGAACCCATTCTACAAGTTCCTTTCCACAAAAATCACCACTTTGTAGGCAAGCTATTTCGTTACTGCTGCTCTGTAGACTTGTAATTCGCCTTCCACAATAAATAGCATTTCATTAACAGTGTCTCCTTCCTCAATAAGGTGATTACGCTCAATGAACAGTACTGGTTTGACACAAAAACACAGTGCATTCAACAGTTTTCTTCCCTTTGATCTAAATAACTCCACCTTAATACATAAACAATTAGAACGAGAGCAAAAATCATAAGAAGGTCATTTCAGAAATTCTTAAACTAAGAAAAATGGTGGCAAAAATTCTTAACATGGATAGAAGGAACTCACTTTACTGAGCAGGTCTAAGCAGAGTTCCCCCTTGATATTTTTCTTTAATTCCTTGGGAAGATTTTGTAGCAGCTTCTCTACATTAACACCTCTGGTGTGTTGCCATACGTACCGCTGATATTCATGTACTTCCTCCTTGAGTTTAGGAGAAAGCTTTTTGAAGGGTTTCCATTGGTTTATTTCTCTTGTGGCCAAACGCATCTCCTCTAATTTCATAGTTTTAGACTGAAGATAAATCTGTTTCACAAAGTACAAAAGTTCATGTGGCAGACTTGGTATCCCTACATCTTTCCTAAAGTAAGGCTCTAGATCAAACATAATGTAGAAAAAGGATTTAAACCCCCCATAGTTTAGTACAGTACTATCCTACATCATTATTGCTACAGCACCATTAATCCGAAGGACAAATGATGCTTTGAGAATTGAAAGGGTCAATGATAGCATGTTACTAACGTACAGTAGACGCAGAGTAGTACATGAAAGTGGTCCATTCCCCAGATGCATAATTCAATGAAATGAAGGTGAACTGTGTCCTTTCAAGTTTCAACTCAGAAGTTGTCTTCAATATTAACTCAAATAATTAACTAAATTAATAGCAGAACATATGACACCAACCTGCACATTTCCGATAAGAAACAAGAATAGCACCAAGCCAAAGATTATAATGAACACTGCAAAGCAGTTCTCCCAGACATATGCACTTGTTTGTAGATTTTGGCCAAACGAACTGCAAAAATGGCATCAAATAAAGCTGTTTAGATGAAAACCTATGAAACATTAACTTGTCCATTAAATAAGAATATCTTTAATCACCTACAATCATAAAACAGAATCAAGAATTGGATATGCCACTGAAAACTAAGGGGAACATCCACAAAAAAAGAACCTGTTAAAGACTAAAATGACTGCCAGACCTTTATAGTTAATGATTATTAATGAAGAATACTAGATGAGCTTAAGGAGGATATCTGCCTTAGCTAGCAGATCCAATGGCTTGGGAAGGTAATGTTAATTGCCATTTGCAACAACTTATTTCATGGACCATACTTCCCAACATGTTAATGGCTCTATATGTCCATGTCTAAGAGTCTTCCAGCACCAGGGAATTGCCAAGAAAAGATGCAACAAGCAAGAGCATGAATAAATGGGTATTTTTGACAGCACCAAAACGTTCAACTGAACTGCATTCAATTCTTCTTAGGTTTGCTTGCATGGTATAATCAAATTACAGAAACAAGATAGAAG